ACGAGATGAGGCAGGATAAAGAGGGATAATCCCCCTCGATCCCAAATCATTGAGGCCAATTTCTAGCCATAGAATAATGGCGCGGCGCACTCAAAAACATGACTTATCATAAACAAACAACATCCTAAGACTATATGCTATAAACGTAAGATCCAAATGAACAATTTCCTGTGGATACTAATTAGGTAGTCTAATATCAATAAAGTAGATAGTGTAGACACGAAATATGTAATCCAACAGTAAAGGTAAGTTCATGCAGTAGCGATTTACGATTTACGATTTGCGGACTTCAATTTGATTGGTTGAAATAAAATATTTTTGACAACCATTTCTTCATTTCAATATATTGCGAGAATCGCAAAATTTAAATATAGGGGGCGGGAAAATAGAATCGGTTTCTATTTTGGCGATTATCGCAATTATTTTTGATAAACTGCGTATCTGTATTCCGTCCAGTTCCGTTCGCAAGTAATTAAAATACTTATTAGTATTATGTAATCTCATTTCCATTACCAAATTATGATAATATTCTTCGCTTTTCTACATTTATAAAAATGAAAAGTGAAAATAAGTTGAAAATTACTTTCAAAAAATAGGCCTCTGATCTTTCTTTTTTAAAATAATGTTCTCACGGCACAAGACCTTTTCTAACTGCTTTTTGTTTTCCTTATAAAGTACTAAGCGCGCCATTATTCTCTACACTATTGACAATAAATAACATAATGATAATCACTGTTATTTACCACATTCATCGTTGCAGAATGTTTATTTATGAACGTCTTGGTTTTGTCTTTACACAGACGAGCCGGCGAAGCAAGAAGAGCGCCAGAAGAAAGGGCCCTAGCCGGCGGGGCCCAGCCAGGACAAAAGGAGGTCCCACAAAGCGCCTATACCGGCCGCATTTGCGGTCGGGGTAGACGACGGATGGGGCCCACCTACGAAGGCTGTCCAGGCCTACTCGAGATGAGGCAGGATAAAGATGGATAATCCCCCTCGATCCCAAATCATTGAGGCCAATTTCTAGCTATGGAATAATGGCGCGAACCCAAGTTTTTGTAAACTTCGTTTAACCTGTTCTTTCTACAACCGCCCTAACAATACTTACATGACTGCCATCTAGACTTATTTCTAGATTTATGGGTAGATCACCTTTTTAATTTTTGTTTGTGTTCTTTTATCTGTGTTCTGTGATGTTTTTATTTTTAAATGTCATTAGTGACATTGACATGAACATGTTTATGTTTATAAACATTTATTTCCAATGTAGATTAAAGTACATATCATCCTTTTAAGACTTTTATGCCTCGTAGCTTTAAGAGCATTTTGATATATCATCTGATCATGGAGGTTAGAAATTGGAGTATATGTATTTTGTTATTTCTTGTACACTATGGAGCTCATGCAGGTGTTATGCACAGCCACACGAATGAGATAAACAAAGAACGTGAAACCGATGGAGCCTACAGTCCTAGAGATCACAGTCATTTCTCTGATAGTGGAGAACATTTTAGCGAATTCGATCACGAGGCTATACTAGGAAGCCATAAAGAAGCCGAAGAATATGACCACTTGTCTCCAGAGGAAGCTAAAAGACGTTTGGGCATACTTTTGAAGAAAATGGATTTGAATGCCGATCAAAAAATAGACAGGAAAGAATTGAAAGCTTGGATAATACGTTCTTTTAAGTAAGTGTATTACCTGCTTCCTGCTTTATATGTTTCTACTGACAATAAAACTTTGCAGAATGTTGTCTGAGGAAGAAGCAAAAGAGAGGATGGAGGATGCCGATGAAGATAACAATGGAGTTGTGTCTTGGAATGAATACCTGTCAGACACATATGGTGTAGACGAGGATTCTGAAGATAACTTGAATTTCGGCGATGATAATCTACATGTAAATGATTAATCTGATATGTTAATCCTTATAAAACTTATTTTAATTTTTTTTACAGTTGATCGAAGATGACAAAGCCATGTGGAAAGCAGCAGACACAAATGGCGACGGTCAACTTGATAGCGAAGAATGGGTGTCATTTTCCCACCCCGAGGAACATCCAAACATGCTGCCTGTGATCTTAGAACAGACTCTGAAGGAAAAAGACACAGACGGGGACGGTTCTATAAGCTTTCAAGAGTATATCGGGGATAGAGGCAACGATATAGACAAAGACGCTTTGCTCGGCGAGAAACTGAAATTCGACGAATCTTTGGATAAGGACAAAGACGGAAAACTTGTTGGCAACGAAATCCTGTCCTGGATCGTTCCAAGTAACGAGTACGTAGTTTTCTTTAATTAAAAAAAAAAGGAAATTCAATATTTTTTTGATTTGTAGGGAAATCGCCGAGGAAGAAGTAGAGCACCTTTTCGCTCACAGCGATGATGATCACGACGATATATTAAGCTTTGACGAGATTCTTGAGCATCACGATACGTTTGTCGGGAGCGAAGCGACGGATTACGGGGACCATCTCCACAATATCCATCATTTTTCGGACGAATTATGATACCAAGTAAAAAAAGTCTTTCAGATGCCTCCAGCGAAGAAGGTAGCATTGTGTAGCTTTGTAAGTCATGTGAAACTATTTATGTTGTTGAGTATGTGGGTGGACGGAGTTGGTGTGTTTCCCTTATTTATTTTCGTTGTTCTCTCTAAAATGCATGAAATGTTGTTCGAAAGGTCTTCAAAATTTGAACTTAAGTCTAGGACCGTGGTAAGTAGTTTTTTATTTTTGCATTTTCTTAATTTGTACTAACATTAAAGCCGATTTTTTGGAAATATATTTGTTTCGGTGTAAACTGCTAATACAGAGGTCAGGTACGTTTGTTAAATTTAGCCACAAATATTTAACTTTTTTTTAAATATTTCTTTAATTTTGACGGATTAAAATAATGTCATTTTCTCTTAAACTAAAAATCCCCCAGTATATCTAGGTTGCAATTAATTATTATTCCGAAAAGCAAAAATTATTTTTCTTTTTAAGTGAAATAAATACGTTTCTCATTTGGAGAAAACCAGTAATTAAATATTAAGTGGGGGATACATGGAAACTAATTAGAACTTACACTTTTTCCTGGAAAACCTGAAATATCAGAATTTTTTGGTCAATATATGGAATACTCCACCTCTAAAATAGTCAAATGTACTGTTAGCATATCCTTTGAAAGTAAAAATAATCATCTTGACAGATTAAAAATGTCATAAAAAGTTATTAAATAACTAATAATAAAGGTGTATCTGATGTGTCCATAAAGCTTATACTTGAAACTTATATATTTATTTGTATTAGATTTGTGCCATAATAAGTGTAAATAGATATGTGTAATTTAATAAATCATGGAATTTAATTATTGTTTCTATCAGTTCCTTTATTTTTGAAAATTTAAATCCTGAGCTTATACATCTCAGAATATGTGGGCAATCTTCCGGATTTATAGAGGGGACGTTAAAATAACATGACAAGTCCCTATAAAAATTTTCCCTAGGAGCCCCCCCTCTGCGGAAATACAGGCCCCTAAAGGACTCCCCCTGAAAAATTATTTTTTAATACGATGGACAACAGATAAAACTCGTAAAAAATTGACCCATGAAAATAATTTGGCTTATTTGGTTTGCAATAATGTCAATTTTTTTTACACCCTGTATGACAGGCACAAAATTAATATTTTTAGATAGCTTGAACCTTAGACTTAAATGAGTCACTCGAATATCGAAAAAATTAACTGTTTTCGAGAAAACCTATTTTTGTTTAATATGATTTTTATATCTAAAAGAGAAATAAACCGATGAAATTTGCATTCTTTCTGTGCCTATCTAAAAAAATGCCACTTTTATTTGTGCAAAACCGTACTTATCTTATCAACTTCCACGTTACCTGTTACATGGGTGTTGTATAATAATGAAAAAGTAATATTAACGGTCGGTAGAAGGAAGCACAAAAAACAAGCACTTAGGTATCGCATTCTGGAAGGAAACCTTAATAGTTGAAGATAGGCAGTTGAAGTGCGAACAGGGTGGAGATCGGTAGTAAGATGATCGGCGGGCAGTGTGTCAAAGTAGTGAAAAGTTAATTGTGTAAAGTGTTATTAGTTAGCAGGTAATATTCTTTAAGTATTTTGTTGTTAATTGTTCTATGTAATTTTATGATTGTGATGGTTATGGATGTTTCATGATAATTCTTTGTATGTTTAGCTTCCATTGCTTTATGCTCAAGGGCATATATTTTCCTAAGGTAAAATTGTTATAATTATACTTAAAGTTTGCCCATTATTTATTTCATGTTAAAAATATATGTATTGTCCTGATTGCCAGACATTACAATAACAACTTCTTTGTTTCACATCTAACTTGTTTTTGCCACGATTACGTTATACGAAAAATATAGATGTTTCATGATAATAATTCTGTATATGTTTAGCCTTCATTGTCTTACGCTCAGGGGCGTTTATTTTTCTAATATAAAATTGTTACAATTATTATTAACGATTGCTCATTATTTATTACATGTTAAAATATGTATATATTGTCGTGTCTGCCCAGATATTGCAAAACAACTTCTTTGTTTCACATTTAACTTGTTTTATCTTGATTACGTTGTTCTTTGATTTCTTGTGCTCACTTTATGTCATACGTATGTAAGAGCTTTGTTGAATTTACTAACATTTTCACCCATGATTATTATTATTGTTATTATTGTTGTTGTTCTCCTGATATTTCAACTTTAGCTGGATAGCCTCCCGTATTATGGGACTCCAGTACCTTCCCGATTATTATTGTTGTTGTTGTTGTTGTTGTTGTTGCTATTATTGTTACTAAAATCTCTTCAGTTTTACTTGGAAGTGTGTATGTCAGACTTGAGTGAGATGACATTTAGTGAGAAATTAAATAAGTTCAGTCTTAATTATCATTAGCAAAGGTTCTTAATTTATGCCTTTGGTTAGCGGTTGTTTGGTATTTATATTTGGGTGGTAAGAGCAACGATTGTGGATTTCTCTGCCATGCTCTTTCCCCTCAGGAGCTCTAGGTGAGTCTGGCACTCTCATTTTATGTTAAATGGTTGTTAATGTTTTTGTTGTTCTTTCTATTTGTCACATGTTTAATCTGAATTGTATGTAAATAAAGGTTAGGTGTAATTACTCTGCTTTTGTTTTATATAATTAAACCATACATCCCCTCTACAAAGTTAGTAGCCAGTGCCTTCCGGTCAATTAAAAATGGATACACACAACGTAGGTAGTCCTTATGACGATCACACATGTTTTTGGCCACAACTACGTTTGTTTTTTTTGTCGAACCTAGGGTTGTTATACTACATATTTACATTTCAGTACCTCAGAGCTAAACTGTATTAACTCCAAGTTTATAAAATTGTATCTCAATTAATTCTACATAGCACTTTTATTATTTTTTGTTAAATGGTTAAAAAAGATTAGTTGACTACAATATTGACATACTATGTAACAGGTTTGATTAACATATGTTTATTTTTTTGAAAATAGATGGAGTTAATACTGTTTTTGCAAAAATTGGAGTTAACACAGATTAGCTCGGAGGTACAGATTTGTTTTTTCCTAAAAATAATTAAATTCACAAAGTATTTTAAAAGTTATAAAAAAAAATCTATTTTCAGGGGCGTCCTTTAAGGGCTTGTATCTCCGTAAGGGAGCCTTCTAGGAACAATTTTCATAGGAACTTGTCATGCATAGTTGTTTTTTTTTTTTGAAAAAAAAAAAAAATGGTAATTTAAAAATTTGTTATCATTTTTTTTTTAGACACACAAAAAATAAAAAGTTGTCTGTACTTTTCATGCGACATATGTTATCTGAAATATTTTTGCCACCTAATCACGAATCCGGTGTCAGAATTGAGCTATCACATCACAGGAATTTCCTAACCTCAAAAAACAGGTCAAAAATAGCAAAAATTCATGAAAAAGTGTTAGGAAAAATATGAATTTTTTTTTTCTATATTCAAATGTTCACTTATATGGTTAAGACCCCACCAAACGTGAATCTGCGGTCAGAATTGATGGTTCTTTTTCTAACCTCTAAAAAATGGGTCAATTAAGGTCAGATATCACGAATTTTCAAAAAATAACAGATTCGCGCCAAATTTGGTGTACAGGGGTTTTCGGGGTCGCTGATCACGGATCCGAGGTAAATTTTGCAAAATTCAAGATGGCGGATCCAAGATGGCCGTACCAATTTTCAAAGAATAACGTTCGCGCCAAATTTGGTATACGGGGGTTTTCGGGGTCGCTGATCACGGATCCGAGATAAATTTTGCAAAATTTAAGATGACGGATCCAAGATGTCCGACCAAATTTTCAAAAAATAACGTTTGCGCCAAATTTGGTATACGGAGGTTTTCGGGGCGCAGTTTGTAATATTTTTGTTTACTTGAGTACCCAATCATGTTTTCACCTTTTTTTCGGCTATATCTTTTTTCTGTAAAAGATCTATTAACGGGTTTACTGCCTAATCTCACATAATAAAGTAGGTACAGGGTGATTCACTATATTTTGAGCCCCCATTTAACTTTTTTGTTTTAAAAGTTATAAAAAAATGTAAAATACAAAAGTTGCACGATTTTTTATGAATTTTTTGAAGGTGACAATTGAAAAACAAATGAAGTCCAAACAAAATGGCCGCGGATGTTAATTTTGTTAAGTTAAATGGAACACCCTGTATATTTTTACAAATTTGGATAGAACGTTCACTGTCGAGCATAGTCATGTAGGGTTTGTCGGGTCAATCGCTAACAATAAGCGAGATACTATTAAAAAAGGAAAAGAAGGTTTTTTTATTAAGAAAATAAGACATCTTGTAATTATTAAACCTTTTTCAGGCATTTCTGACTTTTTCCAATTATATAAGGATTTACAGATTTAGTTATAATATATTTTGACATATCGGACATTGATATGGTCCAAAATGCATATAGCTATTCTAACTAAATCTCTCTAATTAGGCCGTGTGATGCCTAATTACTCATGGACAATGTTATATGGTAGGCCGTGACAGTGACAGTTAATGTCATCACAACATTGTTATTGTTTGACAGTTTGTATTATTATTTAACTAACGCAGAGGTAGAAAATTGAAATATTATAGGAATTAAAATAGAGCAAAGTTCTTCTCCGTACTCTATTTTAATTCTAAATAATTTTCTACTTCTGTGTAACCCATTTTAATTAAATAATAATATAAACTGTCAAACAATAACAATGTTATCATGACAGCTGTCACTGTCACGGCCTACCATATAACATTGTCCATGAGTAATTAGGCCTCTCACGGCCTAATTAGTGAGATTTCGTTACATTACCTATATGCATTTTGGACCATATCAATGTCCGATCTGTCAAAGTATATTATAACTAAATCTGTAAATCCTTACGTAATTGCAAAAAAGGCAGAAATGCCTTTTTTGCAATTGCCTATATTGCTATGCTCTACAAGGAACGTTCTATCCAAATATGTAAAAATATACAGGGTGTTCCATTTAAAGTAACAAAGTCCGCGGCCACATTGTTTGGACTTCATTTGTTTTTCAAATGTCATTTTTGAAAAATTCATAAAAAATCGTGTAACTTTCGTATTTTACATTTTTTTTATCTCTTAAAACAAAAAAGTTAATGGGGGGGGGTCAAAATATAGTGAATCGCCCTGTACATACAAATTTGATCTCGGATTCGTGATTAGCGACCCCGAAAACCCCCGTATACCAAATTTGGCGCGAATCTGTTATTTTTCGAAAATTCGTAATATTTGACCTTAATTGACCCGTTTTTTTTTCTAGATAAAAAAGAACCATCAATTCTGACTGCGGATTCACATTCGGCAGAGTCTTAATCATATAACTGAATATTTGAATATAGAAAAAATAATTTTTTGTATTTTCCTAGCTCTTTTTCGTGAATTTTTGACCTGTTTTTTGAGGTTAGGTTCCTTCGATGTGATAGCTCATTTCTGACACCGGATTCGTGATCAGGAGGCAAAAATACTACGGATAACATATGTCGCATGAAAAGTACAGCCAACTTTTCTTTTTTCGTGTGACTGTGTAATCAGCGCTAAGCCTTGTAATTTTACTCCCTCTAGAAAAACATTGGACATTAATTTTATCGATTTCAGAAAGAAAACAACGTTCAACTCGAATCTTACTTTATATAAATAAATATTACTTAACAATTTACAGTGCTTATAGATACATAGATCGTATCGACGATAAAATGGTGATACACGGAATAATTTGAAGCCCCGATATACGTTTTACACAATTTTCAGCAATTTTGCCAGACAAAAACACCAAAATTCTGTGCCGCACACAGACGGAATTAAAATTAAAGTCACGATCCAACGCCCATCATTTATTACAGCGGCATTTCGAAGTTGATATCGAGCTTGGCGTCACGGGCGAGACTGACGATGTTGGACAATTTCACCGCCAACCGCGCCGCTTCGTCCAAATTATCCACAGGGAGAATCTTCAATCCGGACGACGCGATCAGCACCTTTGCGTCGTCCACGTTGGTGCCCTGCAACCTGCACACGATGGGCATCCTCAAACTCAATTCCTTGGCGGCGGCGATAATACCTTCGGCGATGACGTCGCACCTCATGATGCCCCCGAATATATTGACGAGGATGGCGTGTACCTTAGGATCCGCCGTGATGATTTTGAAGGCTTCTTTGACGGCGGAGGCGGTGGCGCCGCCGCCGACGTCTAGGAAGTTGGCGGGCGAGCCCCCGTGCAGCGAGATTATGTCCATGGTCGCCATGGCGAGACCGGCGCCGTTCACCATGCAGCCGATGTTGCCGTCCAGGGCGATGTAGTTGAGGTCGAATTTGGCGGCGGCCACCTCCTTCTCGTCCTCTTGGGTCCAGTCGCGGAGGGCGAACAGCTCTTTTTGGCGGAACTGGGCGTTGTCGTCGAACCGGAACTTGGCGTCCAGGGAGAAGTCTGAAGACAAATAAATATAGTAGAAATTATGAAAGGACAGGAACAGAAATATTATTAAAAATTACATTTAGCCCAGTAAATGAAAAAAAAATTGTGAAAAAATTCGTTTCGGATTGAAACTTGGTTTAATCGTTAGTTTAGGCAAAAAGAAATAATATTTCCCAAAAAGTATCGGTTTAAAACAACAAGATCATTGTTTAACGTATTATGGGCTGTTCCAGAGTATAGAACAAATATCAAAGCTTCTAAGACATGAAAGAAAGAATTAGAACATATTTTAAATTTTAGAAACATCATGAAATAAATAAATAAATAAGTAGTACACTAGGGTGATTTACGATTTAAAATAACTATAAGCTTTAAAGAGTGACCGCAAAATCCACCTGTTTTTGAGACTTTTACAGAGGCGACAGGAAAAATCCTAAAAATATTCTACAAATATCCAAAAACTCGCCATGAAAATTGAAAATGAGCATTTTCAGTTTTTCGAAAATTTTCGAAAATCGCCCTTATTTAGGCGTTGAAAAGAAAAAAAGTGAACAAATTAAGAATCATCAACAGTTGTAAAACCCCAAATATTTCTATATTGTTATCAAAATAATATTATGAACGTGAAAATATCTAATTTCGTATTTGATACGGTCTTGTCCGGATTGAAAATCAACCCATAATATCCCTATAAGGGTGAAATCATCCCCTAAACGCCTAAAAATATATTAAAAGTTACAATTTTTTTTCTTTTTCTTTTATCTGTGATAACTGAACTGTTAATAACCCACAATCACTAGATCCGAAGGAAAATACCCCTAAATGAGGGTAAAACCACCCCTAAGTTCAACCATGTACACATAAAAGAAAAAGAAAAAAATTGTATCTTTTAATATATTTTTTTGCATTTTTAGGCGCTTAGGGGATGATTTCACTCCTTTAGGAATATTATGGGTTAATTTTCAATCCGGACAAGACCGTATCAAATACGAAATTAGATATTTTCACGTTCATAATATTATTTTGATAACATAGAAATATTTGGGGTTTTACAACTGTTGATGATTAATTAATTATTATTAATTTGTTCACTTTTTTTGTCTTTTCAACCCTTAAATAAGGGTGATTTTCGAAAAACTGAAAATGATGCTCATTTTTATTTTTCATGATGAGTACTTGGATATTTTTAGAATATTTTTAGGAATTTTCCCGTCGCTTCTGTCAAAGTCTCAAAAACAGACGGAAAAATNTATTTTTAGGAATTTTCCCGTCGCTTCTGTCAAAGTCTCAAAAACAGACGGAAAAATGGCTCTTTTTGCGGTCATTCTTTATTTCCTGAGCATTTCAAACTGTTTGTAAATAACACAATTGAAGAAGCGCTCATGAAAATCATTTACATAATATACATATTAAAGAACAAAGGCCCTAAATGAAAGCCTTGGAGTACACCTGACACCATCGATATGAAATTTGCAAACTTTAATCATCTTTAATTAAGATTCCAAGTTTGCGCATTAAAATACTATGATTTACCCTATCGGTCTCAAAAAAATGAAGATTGCAATAATTTAGCCTCCAAAATGTTCAACAAATAGTGACTATAAGTCGACAGATCTAACTCTATAGTTCGTTTATATTAGGCATATTTATGTAAGAAAGCTGTGTAACAAACCAAATCCTAAAGTAGGTACTTTTAGAATAATACCAAATACCGGAATAATTGGTAACATGAGAGCTATTACCCGTTTTATATAAATAAAATAGCATGTAATAGTTTAACAAATGGACTTTATATTTTTCTACATTTACCCATGTTTTTAATCGACATGCGGTTGGTTGGGATAAGAATATCACTTTAACCTTGTAATAATGGCGATTACGAACAGAACTTATCTGAAAATATACAACATTCCTAAAGTGGTAGATTCCCCCCGAGTCGCTAATAATAGAAAGATTAGATCTATCTATTATAAATTTAATAACGAACAAATTATTATTTTATATATCAGAAACTGTCGCATTTTAATTTCGAATAACAATAAATTATATAATATTAATCTTAGATCTAGAGATAACATGTTTTCTCAAACAGAAACTACTACTGCAGCTACACGTAATCTCAGATAAGATATATTTAAGTTTGCGAGTCGCTAGTTTGGATAAATTTGGTATATCAAATACAACATTTAAAAAAGAAAACGCTCGGACTGATAATTTAAAAAATGGGCATTACCGAATTAATTTTTTTTCAAATCCGTAGTTTTAATCTTGTTGCAGTAGAATTTTTTAATGATTCCTTCCGAAATACCAATTTGAGGACCAAATTAATTGAATAACGACCATTTTTAATAGCTACAGGAATGGTAAACGAATAATTTTAACTTGATGTATCTCGAGAGCGACTATTATTAAATATTTATGTCTAACTATACACCTTTAAAAAAAACAAGGGTGGCCGTTTAAAAAAATCATCAATGATGTCATATTGTTTAGTTGGGACACCCTGTATATCTTTTATAAAAAAAAGTGTGCAACTTATAATACTAATCCACTTGTCTGAACATTTCTTTTTAAATAATTTTTTGTTTGATTCATTCCAATAATTAATTTTTACTGTAAATGCAACTTTATCATAATCACTAAAAGTTTTCTCTCTCGAGGTTTTCTACCATTGTTCTCTCCTGATGTTTGTCATCAATTAAACATATAGAAAAATATTTAACACTAATAAACAGAGCAAAGTCCACGATAGAGGCTCAAGGTTGTTTTTATTAACTCAACCTTGATGTGAATTGATGATGATATTAATTGTGACCTAGAACTATGTAACTGTTCCCGACTACAACGTAGGAGAAACCCGTAAAGTAAAATTTTAACAAAAAAAAAAAATGATACGAAAAGATTTAGTAAAATATGTAAAATTATACTTTAAAAAATGAATTAAACTATTTTTTTTCAAAGAAAATCAACAGAAGGACTTCAGTTAATTTGTTAATTACCTAACATTCGAGATAACAATTTTTTTAAAATTTAATGCATATCCCACATAGGTGTATGATATATATAGACGTCATAAATATCACACAATCTTAATTAGGTACTTCAAAATTATCAGCTCCAATCTGACGTAAAACAGGTAAACGGAAAAGTGATTTATAAATATATGGCTACTTACACGTCTCACCAGCATCCTCGGCATAGGGGTTGATTTCTATGAGAAGGGCGTCTTTCTTGACAAACAGATCGTACATTTTCAGCAGCATATCACCAGTTTTTTGTTTCTGCGACTGCAAACCTACTTTTACTGCAACGCTCTCGGCTTGCTCCTTTGTCAAGCCCTTTATAATGTCGATCGGTTCGTAAATAATAGCTTCTGGGTTTTCGGCGGCGACTTCCTCAATGTTTACACCGCCTTGAGACGAGGCGATTATAACTGGGCCCTGAAAATTCACAAGATTAGTTGCGGTGATTTTGATACTTTGTTAATATTTCTTACATTGAAAGCTCTTTCCATCATGACGGCAAAGTAAAATTCTTTTCTGGGGAATTTCCTCTCCGCTACCATCACGGCATTGCATATTCGTCCTTTCTCTCCGGTCTGTTTGGTCACTAAGTATTCCCCCAACATTTTTCCAGCGATCTCCTCTGCTTCTGCGGGTCTGCAATTGATCAAACGATTATTTTTCGGAAATTAAATTCAGCAAATTACTTACGAATAAACCATTCGAACACCACCTTTAAGACCATTCTTAAAGTGTCCTACACCACGACCTCCCGCTAATACTTGTGCCTTAAGGACTAGATCCCTTGTGTTTAGTTTTTCCGCGATCTTTCGGGCCTCTTCCTTGGTTTTGGCAACTCCAAAGTTTGGTACTGTTATTCCTGCCTCTTTCAATAAAGAATAACTGATATGTTCGTGTACATTTAAGTTTCTAGTTTGCTGTTGTTGTGGTTGCCAGCGACCGTTAGAAATCGAACCCAATATCTGAAATTTTCATTCAAAAATAGGAATTCGTCCTACATTTACATAATTCGAGTTCCGCAGGGTTGTCATTTATCTAATAATAAATATGGAGCTGGTCAAGGTCGTGGAAATTCCAAGTCGTAGAAGCGAGGCGTTATCGTAAAAAAATAAGGGGTTTATGCTTACCTTTGGGCCATTTTTTAAAACTAAATTTTCGGCTAGTGCGGCACTTCGTAACATAGTCGCCATTATCAATAAACTGCAAGGAAAGGCCGCAACAATTGATCTTTCGACTCTTGTTCAGAGAGTGACGGTTGTGACGTGAGTTTTTTTGACTTAAATTTGGCAACTCACATCCTCAAGTGTCACTTTTGTACAACACCAACATAACCTTCAATCAGACAAACAAATGTCAATACGTGATAATTCAAAGTATATTTCGCAGTTCCATGTGATTTAGCAATGAAGAAATACATCTAATGATTAATTTTAAATTCAAAGGTGATATTGGTTTCGCTATACTGATTCAATAAGTTGTTCAAAAATTTTTACTTATAAAATGATCTTTAACCTTTAACCCAAATTTCTAGTCAGATAAGGAATAGGTAGGTGCTGATATGATTTTTAGGAAAATTTAGTGGTAGAATGAACGTTAACAGTCTGTTGAAAGTTTGTCTACAATATTTCTCTTGTAATATTGTTTAAATTGGCTTCAATTAAAGCAAACAATCGACTCGTGTCTCTTTAATAAAAATTCATCAAGTTCAATTTATAGTTTAAATATTCTCGATGATAATATTGCCTATAATTAATGTGTTAAATGCCAGTATAAACAAAGAATAAATCTTTAGCTGATTATACTTTCTTTTTACTGTGATGTACATGATTATCTTATCAGTAACAAAAGCTATACGTTCTTACTCATTTTATTAATTTGTGCTGATATTACAGTTTGTAGGATTACTTAGTGCTGCAGTTTTTAATTAGTTGTTGAAATAGTTTAGAAAAATGTTGAAGTGCCAGGAATTTAATGTCACTGTTAGAAAGGCAAAAAGGGAAGATATGGTACAGGTCTATAAACTGATTAAGGTAAATAGATGAAATATTTCAGGTCACCAAATTCTTGGGGATTATAAGCTTTGTTTTAGATGTTATTTTTAAAAAGTCCCTGGGCTATTAAGCAACTGTGACACTTTAAAGTAACATAAACATGTTTTTAAATTTCATTAACATTTTCGTAATCTACATTTCCAAGGATGTGCCTGTATGGTTATGTTCCTTGTCTCTTGACAAATATTTGCACCATGCAATGAAATGAATAAATTCGTGTCAGATAAATAGAAATAACTATAAAATATCTGTAATCAAGCGTGAAATTATATCACGTAATGAACTAGTGTTGTGTTATTTATAGAAAAGGTCGATATACTATGGAAAAATATTCCTTTACAATTTATCTGAAAGAATAAGTCAATTTTACATTAGATTACCGGCAATTTAACACCAAATATTACTTACCTTGTGGTTAAGCATTTTTCTCTGTTATATTTATGATATTAAATTGTTATCGTTACTTTAAAAAATTTAACATGAAGTATTTGTTGTCTTAGGAATATAATCTAAGAGTAAACAATTATTGTTAAAGTTTATAGTGTTAATATAATCTTATAGTAGTAGGATGACTTTGATGAAATCTTGTGGTATTGTAAATAGTTTTCATAATTTGTGTCTTTGAAAGAACTTCTAGAGTTGCCAACTGTATTGATTTTCGTGGAACCTCCCAATTTTTGGTAATTTAAGTCCTGCTTAATCCTCTGGCAGGACGACAAATGCGAAGTTTTGGAAGATTCGAAACATGTTAAACATCCAGTAAAAATACTGTATATTCAAGATTTAACCGATAATCAAATAAAATACCTACTATTCAAAATTAGTGTCCCAATTTTTTTTGTAGAAATCCGGCCTTTTTAATAAAATTGTCCCTTAAAAGTTATAAAGAACAGTTAACAACTCTAAACTTAAATAATTTAATTTCTGTTTACTTGAAACGTTTTCATTTTGCAAAAATATTTAATGTATTTTTTGAAATTCGAGGGAAACAACATAATAACAACCATTTTCTGTACCAGGCACTTGCCGAATACGAGAAACTCGAACACCAAGTCTGCATCGATGACAAAATACTGCAAGAGGACGGGTTTGACAAAGAAACCCCCGCGTTCACCTGCATAGTGGCGGAGCTGTCCGACGGCCACATCGTGGGTTACGCCTTGTATTACTATTCGTACTCAACCTGGGTGGGACGGTCGATTTTACTCGAAGACCTCTACGTCCAACCCGCCTACAGACGTAATGGAATCGGCAAACAGCTGTTTATGGCTGTCGCGAAGATAGCGCACAACGCGAGCATCAGAAGGATGGATTTACACGTTTTGTCTTGGAATCCCGCCGTTGATTTTTACAAGAGTCTGGGGGCGAACGACTTAACTAAGACCGAGAATTGGCATTTCTTTAGGATGGACCACAACTGCTTAAATCGGTTGTTTTCTTAATGTCTTGCGTCTTGTATTTTTTAAATCAGGTGTACGAACTTTTTTATAATAAACGGTAGATTTTTTTGTAGTCATTGTTTTAATGTAATTATTTTGTTTTAATCGAAAAATGTTCTGTAGAAAAAATCTTCATAAAAGAATAAAAGTGAAATTATTGTAATAAAAAAATTAAAAAGAAAAACACATTTAAAACAACAATTACTTATATTCGTCGGTACTCCAGTCGTTACATATAAAAGGCTGTTTTAAAATGTCTTTGTTATCTATTTCTAACTTCATTATTTGGTGTTCCTTCACTAAATGTTCATCTAGCTTCACCTTCCTTTCAAAGCTTACACCACAAATCTGACAGCTGAAAATGAATAAATATTACAGACAAGCAAAACGGCTAAATCACAGCGTTGACTAAAATAAGTACAATACATACTTCAGTTAACGATCACAGTTTCCAACTGTTTTAGCCAACTTAGGGATAATAAAACTAGATGGCGCTACTCTCAAAACATTCCCACAGAAGATATCTTCTGTGACATTCCTGTCACTTGTATGTCTATATAGGGTAGGGCAAATGTACCCGAATACCTGTGTATAGGCTGAACCATAATATTTGATTAAAAAATACCTTTAACAACAGTTTTTGTAGTATTTTATACTTTTCAATGACGTACATTAATTTCCAACATCTACATTTTTTAAATGAACCCTCCTGTTTATTGTAACATTTTTAGAAAGACAGATTTTCACCAATTACAATGATATAGGGTTTGGTGGGTCTGCGATTTATTTTTCAAATGTTGAATAAAAAAAATAAAATTTTATTTATTGAAAATGAAATTTGTTATTGCAAAATATGGAGCACTTGAATATTAAACAAAACATTCATAATAAATGTTCAAATTGGTGACCTTCGGCAGCTTGACAACATTGTAATCGATCAACGAAGGCTCTTAAGGAATTTTGCATGGCAAGCTGTGATATTTCTTGAACAGCCACCCTAAGCAGATCTTCCAACTCTTCTAGCGACTGAGGTTTGGTTTTGTAGACAACAGATTTTAAATGAGCCCAAAGGAAATAGTCTAACAGACTTAAATCTGGCAATCGCGGTGGCCATTCAGTATATCCTCTTCTCTCTATCAATCTCTGCAGAAATACATTATTTAGGTACTGATGCACGTCAACTCCATAATGAGGCAGAGCTCCACCTTGTTGGTACCAAACATCATTTGAGAGTCATCATTTTCAAAGCAAAAGTTGTAAATAACAATTAGAGTTCAAATTTTCTGTAAGAAAGAGTGGGCCGATGATGTCCTCTGATTATATGCCCATACATTTAATTTCTGAGGATATTGAGTGTGATTTTCTTCTACCTAATGTGGATTTTGATCACTCCAGTAACGAGTTATGTCGATTTACAAACCGTTCAAGCAGATGTCGATTCACCTAAGAAAAGTATATTATTGACAAAGTTTCCATTGTTCCCAATGTTGTTCATCATTTCCTCACAAAATTGCATCCTTTTATCAGGGTCCTCCTCACATAATTCTTGTACTAACTAAACGTACTTTATACGGATGACAATTTATTTTTGGCCAATATCCTCCTTACTGTTCTCTCGCTAACATTGTGATATAAGGTGACGACTTGAGGCACAAAAGTTTTTGGTTCTTCTTGTAGAATGAGAAGAACATCTACTGATATCTTCATTTGTAACTGATTTACGTGCACCGGATTTTGTAAGATTTTTGACACTTCCCGTTTCATGAAACTTGTTCACAACCCATGAAACTGTTGATTTTGAAATATGGGAATTTCTTTCAGAGAATGTTGCATTAAAAATATTGCATGCATCTTGCAGCTATATCTTCCTGTTTCCAAAACCAACCATCATCAACAACGAAATTCTTTCATGTTCACTTAGTTCTTAGCAATATTATTAAGTAATAACTATCTATCACTATTGACTGCATCCAACAGGTATAGATGATCTGATTTCTTTTAAATAAAATTTGCCAAAACGATAGCAAACCCGATTACTTTTTCATGTAGCTGTGACAAAAAATGTAAACAGCCAGCTGTTAACAGCTTTTTATTTTATTGCTTTATTCAATAAATAAATCACAGATCCACCAAACCCTAGATCATTGTAATCGGTGAAAATCTGTCTTTCTAAAAATGTTAAAATAAACGTCCGTTTAAAAAAACTGCCGACAACGATGTATCTCTAAAAATAAAGTAGATGTTGGAAATTAAGGTATGAAATTGAAAATAATAAAAATGCTATACAAACTTTTTTTAAAGATATTTTTTAATCAAACTTATACACAGGTGTTCTGATACATTTGCCCAGTCCTGTATAGAGAAGGATGAGAGAGAGTCACCATCTAGAATTTTCATTTGTAAGTTTGGCCGTTTTAATTTTAAAATACAGCGTGCAACTTTGAATTTAACCTTTAGAAACACATATCCTTTTTTTACCCTAATTTTTCAGTAGTTCAGATAACAGAACTTTATTGGCTTATTTTTTTCTTGCAATTTTATCTCAACAAATATTGTACAGATTGTATATTATTTATGAAAATGAAGGCAACATATTTGTTTCTCTTTTCATTAAATTAACGTTGGACGTTTGTTTTTTGTCCATCTAGGGCCCTGTTATCGTAAATCAAGCGGATTGATATTATGTAGTTCATCTAAACTAGGCTAATGTCATCAGAGGTCGTCAATGAGATTCACAAACTAAACAAAGTACTTTAAAAAATTCTAACAAATACATTTTTGTTTTCACAAAATTATTTTCTGTTACAGTTTTTCCTCTCTGCCACTCAGTTAGTTTCATATAGTTGGTTAACAAAATATAACTCGATTCAATTAAAAAATAATAATTTCAGATTAGTATTTTGGGGAATGCATACCCTTAAAAAAAAGAACCCGCACTCAAAGTTACACAGATTTAACTAGAAGGTTTATAGAAACTTTAAGATTCTAAAAAAAATTCCAATTGAACATACCTATAATTCCTTTTCTGTGATACACTCGAACAGGGATTGGTGTGCAATTTCTCGTGGACTGCTAAATTATACTTTTCAGCGAAACGCTTTCCGCAAATGCCACAAGCAAAGTTCTTTTCGCCCGTATGTATCCGCATGTGTCTCTTGAGGTGCGAACCGGACATTAGCGCTAAACCACACGTGGTACACTTATAAGATTTTAGTCCGGTATGGGACAACCTGTGAATGTTAAACGAAGTATGGTGTACAAAACGTTTGCCGCATTCATCACATTGGTAAGGCATCTCCCCTAAAATTATGATTATTCACAATAGAGCATTACTGGTTAACTGATGTCTTACTAACCTGTATGAATGGGTACATGTCTTACTAAGGCACCTTTCTGAGTAAAGGACTTGTGGCAATAAATACAGGTAAACGGATTAATACCATTATGCATATCCATGTGAATATTGAACGCGGCTTTGTGCTTGTAAGACTGTCCGCATATTTCACAAATAAACGCACGACGATTGTTGTGAGTGTTCATGTGATTTTTCAGCTCGCTAGCAGTTCGAAATTCTTTCGAACAGTGGCATTTGTGTGGTTTTGGAGCCCCAGGATATTTTATTTTCCCGATTTTTATTTTCTCAGTTTTCTCTGTACTTGAAACCGGCACTGTTTCTTCTATATTACACACACTTAAAGTACTATTTGTCGTATTTTCATCTACAAGCTTAACATTTGATTTTATATTTTTATTTAACTTAGCGGTTATGCTGTTTTCAATCGTTTTACTGCAGTCCGACAAATTATCATTTATGCTTATTTCATTCCCTTCAGGATTTATATTTGGGATACTGGAAATATTTTGCTTGTAATGATGCTCTACATATTTCTTAAACTGACTTCGAATTTCCATTTGCCTTAACTCAATAGCATCTAACTCGTTTAATAAATCGTAACATTGTATACAGATATCAAAGTGTTTGGGCAGAAATTTTGCAGTTACGTTTTCAATAATTGATATTAGAGGAGTGTTTGAATATTTAGAATTATTACTTTTTAAGTTAAAATGGATGGTTTCCAAGAAGGTATTACACACAGCACAGGGTACTTCAGTCTTATCCATGTCTTTTTTGAAATATTTATTTACATCAGAGTTGTAGTGAGGTTATGTTATGGCTCTGTAAATGCTAGCCGGTGAATAAATTTTATTTTATTGGCAACATTGAGTGTCATGTTACCTTACATATATTTTGCAGAAAAATCCCTATGGTGATTTCAAAATATTTGTAGTTTCAGCAAAATTTTCTGCTATTTCATATATTTAAACCTTTGGTAATTCTCCAAGGTAATATTTTATTCCCAACGGTTCACAATATGTAAAAATGATGAAATAAATTTAATTTTTATTTGTCTGTCAACTTGTCAAAGTTTGAACCAATCAGGGTTTTCCACATGTTTTTAGAGCAAGCTGATTGGCGATTAGCGGCTGGTATAGTATATAAGTGTGTTGGATGTAAAATAAAACCGAATGCATAGTCAGGCAAAAATAATCTAAATCATAAATTAAACTGTGATATGTTTAGTGAGTAGAGCAATTAATTCATGATGAACGTGAACTTTGTGTACATATTTATTTTATTCAACTTGGTCTCTATAACATTAGTTTTTGCTGGCAGAGACTTTTACAAAATATTGGGTGTTTCCAAGTCTGCTAGCCTTCACGAGATTAAAAAGGCCTATCGGAGGTTAGCCAAGGAGCTACACCCAGACAAAAATCAGGATGATCCCGACGCCTCTCAGAAATTCCAAGACTTGGGAGCAGCTTACGAAGTTCTGTCCGATGAAGAAAAACGTCAGAAATATGACAGGTGTGGGGAAGACTGTCTGCAAAAGGACGGTATGATGGATGGCAGCATGGACCCCTTTGCTAGTTTCTTTGGGGACTTTGGCTTTCACTTTGGTGGCAATGAACAAAGACACGAGACTCCCAAAGGAGCTGATCTCGTTATGGACGTATTCGTAACCTTAGAAGACTTATACACAGGCACTTTCATTGAAATTACCAGGAATAAGCCAGTTATGAAGGCTGCTAAGGGCACAAGGAAATGTAACTGCAGGCAGGAAATGATCACGAAGAGTTTGGGACCTGGACGGTTCCAAATGATACAGCAAACTGTCTGCGACGAATGTCCAAATGTTAAATTAGTGAATGAGGAGAGGCTTTTGGAGATGGAGGTGGAGCAAGGTATGGTAGACGGGCAAGAAACCAAATTCACAGCTGAAGGAGAGCCTCATATCGATGGGGATCCTGGGGACCTCATTTTGAAGATTAAAACCCAGCCTCACCCTGTATTTGAGAGAAGAGGGGATGATTTGTACACTAATATCACAATTACACTACAAGTAAGTATTGTAGAAGATTCTGGTAAAACAATATAATCGTGGATTAATGAAATAAAATATGTTACGTGTACGTGTAATATTTTATTTGATGTGATATAACTTTAATAAAATTATTATATCAGTGATAAGATAAAGAAATTGATAGGCTTATAATTGTTCCGTTATCAAAGTATAGACAACTGGAAATAGGCATTTGACAAAACAGGAAGTTACTCTTCATAAAAATATGTGAATAATTACTTTCTAATTGTCTTTATTCATTCATTGAATTCATAAGGGTTATCAAGGTCATAAAATGCAATTTATTGCAAACGTTGCAATTTCTTGGTACTTAATTCATAAATACTACAGTGTGGCGCTTTAATGGTTGTTTTTAAAATACAATGTATTTTAAAAACAACCATGTAGTGGCCTTCTAGATGTATTAGTTGTACTTATTATGATGATCTAGTTGGTAATCTATGGCCTGGTATGATTTTTTAAAGTTCCTTTGGATGTTATTAAAAATTCACTTAAAATATATTAATACAGGCTTCGCTGATTTAACAGTGGCTGTTTGTTCTCGCCTAGCTCGCTGTTGTCATGTCTCATCAAGTGGATTGATATGTAGTTCGCTAAGTCAATGCCAGAGAGATTATCGACGCTGAAATTGAGAAACTAACTTTTTTATAAGACTTGTAATGATTTGACGAAATATTTCAAATCTGCCAGATTAATAATTATCTGTTTTGTCACATTTCGTGAATAAGATTTTCAACTGTCATTTTCATTAACTTTTTTAATGTTGATTCAGGATGCGCTAACTGGTTTCTCAATGGAGATACCACACTTGGACGGGCACTTGGTTTCGGTCACCAGGGACAAAGTTACTTGGCCGGGGGCCAGAATACGCAAGAAGGGCGAGGGTATGCCCAATTACGACAATAACAACCTTCACGGTACTCTCTATATAACCTTCGATGTGGAATTCCCCAAACAGGAACTTAGCCAGGAGGAAAAAGATGGTAGGAACTGTTTATATTTTGATATTGCATTGAACAGGGTATTAACATTTTTTTTTTATTTTTCAGTTATTAAGAGAATATTAAATCAGAGCTCAAACAACAAAGTATATAACGGACTTAGAGGGTATTAAAGAAATTTACTTAGTGGGAAGTTGTACATATTTGTCAGAAACAGACTATAAGTGTTAATAGTGTATATTTATTGAAATTGTATTTATTTCATTTTTCGGTGCAAGAAGTATATGGCTGTTTTGTATGAAACGCGGTTTGGAATCTGATTCCTAATAATTTTACCAGAATTTAGTGTTTTGAAATTTATTTTTTGTACAAATATATTTTCTTGTATATAACTTAGGTTTGGTAGGTAAAAGACGAAGTTTCATATTTTGATTAGATTTTTACCATTATTTTTCTTGAAACATATCGAGTCATTTGTAAAATTATCGAAACGTACTTCTTGTACTACCTTTACTGTGTTCACAGATTTCTTTTTGTAATTTACCAAATATCTCAATCATTTTGGTAATATATTTTTGATTTAAAAAAAAAATCAAGACTTACTCTATATCATATAAAAAAAAATCTAATAAAGGATTTCGAAAAGTTCCATATGGTTTTTTCAATTTTACCCTTTTTATTTACAATACAAGACACAATAAAACCAAATAGAGAACTTTACTATAATTTAGCAACCAAAAATATAACATGAGACCACCTCGTTCAGTATACAGACCTTGGATTAGATTAAAATAATTATCACTATAAGTCGATCTTGACTGGAAATTGAGTTAAGTAATGCGTATTGTTATTTATCTAGATTCATTACATTTACGAGAAAATAAAAATAATCAATTTGGTAAACCTGAATGGAAAATAATAGAATATATTTTTGTCCAAGGTGTAGCTTGATAAGGTCAGTTCAATCAATCTAATTTTGAAAAATATCTACTTGACAAAATCGAATCTAAATTTTATAAATCTTCATAAAACAAAAAAATAATTAACCAAACGTTAACGGCTTCCTTGGATGAAAATAAACGTTAACACAGTTTCAAGCTTTCAAAAAAACATTGTTCTCTGTTCATATATGCAAAAGCAAGGATTATTAAAAGTGAATTTTTGTCCCTCAAGCTAAGAATGCTATTTTAGTCGAAATGAAAATGTAAAATTCATTATATTTTTAAATAATGCATTAAAACTAACGAAATTTACATATTATGTGTTATTAATTAACTTAATTTCAATAAAAACGTTGAAAAAAACTAAAATAAAGTAATTTTACCTAACTTATTATTTAAAAAAAATTAGTTATTTGAATTACTAAATAGCACTTGGACTTGCCAATAACCGCCCAATTTGCAGTAATCGTAAAATACATTTTGCCCGTAACATTAGTTTTTCCCCTATCTTGGCAATTCTGCTAGTTGATAATGCACTGACAGTTATTCGTTACTGCCAATGACCGTCTTGTATTTACGTGTGATCTCAGCTATTCTGAATGCTGACTGGTCAATTAAGTGAGATTAACTGCTGCCATACAATTTTTGACAAAACAAAATAATACGGAGAGATCCAAAATGATTGAAGTGTTTGGAGATCGCAGTCTGTGCCTGTCTATGTCAATACTACAGATTTTTATATGCTAAAGATGGTGTTAGAAACAGGCTGCGTTGCCTAAACGCTTCTGTCATTCTGGATCTCTCGGTATTAATAGATGGAAATTAGTTTAGACGATTTATGATTTTTTAAAGCCTTATGCTTGATGTCACCTTGAATTATTATAGAAATTTTTGTATATGAGTAGAAAAAGTAGCGTTTCCAAGTATGAATTAAATATTCGTCATTCATGAATACGTTCATTTTCGACATTTTCATCTACAAAGTAACTATTTTTATTATTTCATTCTTTTAATGTAGGTAACGAAAAGGTAGCTTTCATTCCTTAAGTTGAGTATTTTGGTGCGTGCTATACAGCATAATTAAACTTGGCCTTTTTGTTAAGCTTGCAGTTTTATTAGATGCTTTTATTCAAATGTACCCGCGTAATAAGATATAGCCGCCCTTTTATACAGAGTGTAACAAAAATAAGGTTATAAACGTCGCCAGCAGATAGAACACCTAAAATTAGTAGGGGTACTGCATATAACATTTTTTTGCCTAAAGTGATTCCTTAGTGAGATACATGGTGTTGAAGCTGAAAAAATAAATAACATTTTCTTTAAAATTTTTCGACTGCTTAGAGCTAATTTCATGAAATTTCGTATCCGTAGCTTTTTTGGGATGAGAAATTTGAATTTATCGACGATTTCGTTGTATCTTCTAGATGGCGCCACAAACGACGCAAATGCACTGCCAAAACATTTTTGTGCCACCGTGTATTTTACTTTGGGCTGAAAAAATCTTTTCCCCAAACTTTTTTGCTTATAAAGGTATACCTTGCTAATATCTCTAAAGCCAACCGTTTTCAATAAAAAGGCATTTAAATTTGTAAATGCATAAAAAAATTAGTTTAAAAGTTATCTTCAACTCCATTGAAGAACATTTTTTAAGACAGGTCAATAATAATTAGTTATTTTTTAGATTGTTTAGATTGGTTACATTGTTTAGATTGTGTTAGATTGATAGATTGTTTTTAGAAAGTATGTGCACGGCTCACCCCAGAAAGTCCTGTGCCCACCCCAGAAAAAAAACATCTATATATCATATCGGTAAGTCGCTGACTGCGTGCCTTTTTTTTGGATAACTCGTCCCTAAAATTGTACTGAACTTTTTTCTCATTGATCGAATTGAAAAATAATATCAGTTCACAGCAGAATTTAATTTTAAAATTTTTTCTACTATTTTGTTAAATTTAAAAAAAAAATACGGTTTTCAACAAAAACCGTATTAACTGAAACAAGATTTTAACAGTGTACGTTTAGTAGAAAATAATCGAAAAGTCAGTAGTAGGCAATGAATTTATCTTTCAAACTTGTCTGTTAATTTTATTTCAACAATTGCCTCTGATTGCTGTTGAAAAAATATTAATTATTATTTTTATTATTTATTTGTGTTTTTTACTTAATACAATATTCGCTTATTTAAAAGCTACCTAGGTACTTGTTTTCTTTTTGTAGAATTAGGAGAGAAGTGAAGTAAAATTTATTTGGCCAATTGTCAAATTTGGAAGATAAAGCCTTACTACTGACTTTTTGATTATTTTCTAATGAACACTGTTAAAATCTTGGATCAGTTAATACGGTTGTTCTTGAAAACCATAAAGTTTTTTAAAATTTAACAAGAGTAAAAAAAAATTTAAATTAAATTCTGATGCTGTGAATTAATATCACTATTTTTCAATTCGGTCAATCAAAAAAAAGTTTGGTACAATTTTAAGGGTGAGTCATCCCCAATGAACACCTTGTAGTGCTTCAATTAACTTTAAATCATAGTCAAAGAAGACCAGTAATAAACCTAAATCATGTACCAAATTTGGTTCTTCTGCGGTAAAGTGTTGCTGAGATATTATTTTTTTTAGAAATTTAGGACCTCACTTTGGAGGCTAATAACTCCTCAGGTGTGCAACCTTGTATATTATAGGCAAGTTTGGTTAAATTACAATATTTTGGACACCCCTACATGCACCTGCCCCATGTCGGTCTTATGCGGTAGCGGGACACCCTGTATAATGAAAATTGTGACCCAATTTGTTGTCACCACCAAGTCATTGTTAAAGAAAATTCCCCTATAAACATCCAAATTCCGCTGCTACTATTGGCAACACTGTAATTTGATTTAAATCGGTTAACCGGTATATTTTCATCCAAGTAAGCTATGTATGTACCACAAAACATCTATGTATGTACCATTGAAATAGGACCCTTTTTTCCATGCAACCTGAATTAAAATTAATAATTAAAAATATTGTAATGAAAATACATAACTATCTATACACAAAATTAGTCAAACAATAAGTGTTTCATATTCTTATCGGCCTATGTGAATCACAAAGTTTGTGGGAGTGTTTTATCAAATTTCATTCAAAGCGAATATATTAATTGTCAACAAGTCTCTATACTAACAATGTGAAATTTTGTAATAAGTTTAAGGTGGGCGCATCTTGAAAAAAAATATACCATTTCACGTTAAAAGAGTGAGTGTATCATATGCTTTCTTCGAATTAATTTTTTTATGCTGTCAATACCTAAATTTGAAAAAACTATACCATTTTTATATTATGAAAATGATTGCTTTATTCTCTAAATAATAAATATTGAAGGCAATTAAATCACGCTACAAATATAACTAACAACCTTGTTTATGTACAGCCCAAAAGGTAATCGCATCTTATAACTTTATCATTCAAAAATGTACTTCCTTGTTATCAAATTCGGAAGGAAGTAGAATAATTAAGTGACATTTAATCAGTAGCAACTTGTTTTATCGATTCTGTTAACGAAAAAAAGTTTCGCATTACAACACTATTTAGATGGTGTCAAACTGACTTGATTGTGGACGTGATTCAGCTTTAAAATTTGGTCAAGCATTTTAAAGTTATATCTTGTGGTAGCGTCGTTAACAAATAGTAGCAGAGTACTGAAACCAATAAAGAAACATAAAAGGGCTCAAGCAAGTATTCAGGATAAAAATATATGTTTTTTGTTATTTTTGCGTTAGGGAAACCAGTTCCCTTGTTAATTAGTGTTGGAACAATTATGGACTGTTCATTTGTTATGAGAACTGTCATAGTTTGGCGGCAAAATGTTGATGTTAAAAAAATTCTTTTAATAAAAGTTTTTCAAGGTGAGTCAGTATTTTTTAATGAAAAATATTAGCAATAAATTATATATTTTCGATATGTTCGATAATACCTAACAGGTAGGTGCTTTTCCAACTAAACTGACACTAGTCATTCATAAAAAAATATTTGTTTAGAAGTGACTCAGTACAAATAAAGGCAATGTGAGAAAATCTTGATAAAAAAACGTGCTTATAAGTACGATAAAAAGTACCTACCTGTCACTGATATAGATTGATATACGATAATCATTTAGATAATATTTTTAGACTGGCATAAAAATATTTTTTTTCAATTATTTTCTAAAATCCTTATAAAGAGCAAAACTTTCTGCATAGAGAAATAAGGCTTTTTTTCGCGAGTGAAGTCGTATGTTGTAGTATGTGTAGTATGAGTGAATATTACGTTTTTGCGAGAATAGTCAGTCATTTAAACTACTATGTGACGTCACAAGTTTAGATCAAATGACTGAACTCTTCACCCTTCAGCTGAATATTCTGTTGGTATATTCAACTAGTATTGTCAGCTGGTAACTTAACCTTTTTCATTTTGACATTTTGTTTGAATGAGTATAAAAATCGTTCAGCAAAATGATGGATTCTGATATGGTTGTGGAAGTGGCCAGTTTAAATTTAAACTTTAGAGGCACAGATGTTTTAGTAAACATAGACGTTGAAACAGCAAATATTTTACTTGATGGTGAGATTAATTTTTTATATGGGACATATTTGCAATCCACTTTGCTTCAGGATTATCCTTTTTTTTTGTGACCTAGGCCAGAGATAATATTGGTGGGATCATTTGTAATTC